ATCAGCATGTGTCTTACTGTGTATGCTATGGTTGGTTCTGAGCAGGAGAAGTTTCTGGAGCAATTTAGTGACGAAGCATATGATTATACAGTTCAGGATCGTAAGAAGTCTCTTGCTTACAAGCACCTATGTAATCTCTCTTTCTTTCTTTCTCTCCATATTAACCTCTCTTTTCTACTAAGTTTGCAGTTACTGTAACTGTAACATTGCTCTGTGTGATCACTGCTTTACACTAATTTTGATAAATTTTCATTTGAAAGCTAGAAATTGAGCTCTTTTCTTGTTGTGAATTTGGGATTTCTCAGTATTTTTTTATTTATTTTGCTATGTCAACATTTTCAACTGTAGAATCTAGTACCCTTTATCCTACTTGATATTTCATAGATTCTCCTTTTGTTTTCTTTCTCTCTTTTGGATGAAAAAAACCTAATGTAGCGAAATTTATTGCATATGATGTCCCATTTATTTTATCTCTCACTTGTATTTAGCTGTTTACAGCTATGACAAGCTGGTTGTTTTTATGTTTTATGCTCACTGCCAAATCAAATTAATTTCATGTTTTAAACTATATCAGCCTCTGGAAACTATATGATAGCTCACATAATTAGCAAGCAGGAGACAGTAGAATCACTATACAATGCCTTGCTAAATAATGTTCCCGAGTTTAATAGAAATGCTGTTTTCTTTTTTGTTTCAGCAACAGTTGTTAGTAAAAGGAGGAGATTTGACTTCCTTTCAGGTACCTTTTACTCATGTTCTGTCCATTCTTTCTCATTTTTAATGGCAAGCATAAACTTTACCTGTATTGACTATGCTATGCTGCCTGGTATAACTTATTTTGCGCATCTAGATTTTGTTCCTGAGAAATTAAATGCGAAGGATGCTTTGGCAGACAGAAAACTGGCCATGACAGGGCAAGGTTAAGCCATGGGAATGGAGATGATAATCCTAGAAGTTTTCTTTGGTCTTGAGTTGCTTGCGTAATCATGCTCATTTCATAGCCCTTGAGTTGTTATCAGTTGGTAATATGATTGTCTAGGCATTGCTTCTCAATAAATTTGATGGGATGTAAATCTAAGAGGGCATTTTGAAGTCTGTGCGCTTGTGGTAATGGGAGCTGGTTGCATTCCCTCTAACTGGGGGCCATAACCGGAAACTTCTCGTGTTTGATCCATGAAGCATTATGCCTCGCGTTCTTATGTATTTTGTGTGGGGTTCATTCTTTGTTCCCCATGCTTTCACAGTTGCATCCCAATCATCTTACGGCAGATAGTTTATAGAAGGCTGTAAATGAGTGATTCTTCGAATGCAGGATAGCTTCACAGTATATTTTGCACTACTAGTTCGGAAAGGAGTTGTTCTTTTTCGCACTACTAGATGTTTAGCATTTGCTTAGATGTTTGTGCTGTGGGGGGATTGGTCATTAAGTTGTAGCCTGACAAACTTAGTCTAGGGATCCCAATTTCATTTGAATTTAATGAATATGCATTCAAATTAACATTTAGGTTGTGTTTAGTTAGTATTTACAGGAGGAATATACAAATTGAATAAAAACATATTTAGTTTGAGGGATTAAAAAAAAGATATCAAATAAATTTGTTTTTAAAATAATTTATAAGTGAATTTACGACTTTTCAAAATAAAACAGGAAATATGAGATATATTTCTTTTATTTTAACTGTTTTTATCCTGTGATGCCACATTAATCAGAATTTTAAAAAAAATAGTTAATGTTTGGGTTTGGCAAGGATATTCAAAATTTAATAATAAATAAAATATAGATATTATTAAAGTTATAATTATTAAATTCAATTTAGTTTGGCGGGTCAGTAGTGGAGGATTTTCTAGTTATTGAACCACTTGGGGAGTTGATATGATGGATCACTCAGTGATATGTAGCTCTCGTGAGATGTGTACAATGAATTAAAAAAATTACTTTTATTCGAAATAATGATTTAGCTTTTTAAAAAATTAAGTTGTACAAAACAGAGTTATTTTATTAAAAATAACTTAATGGACATGACTACTCGTGGGTTCTTGTTCAATCTAGGCCTTGGGTCCACGTTATGGGTTATATTGGATATTAACAAAACATTAAAGGTTTTGGCTGAATTAATGGTGTTTTTTGTTTTTTTTTTTGTTTTTTACTTTGTTTTTTTATATTGGTCAATTTCACTTTTTAGTAATTTTTTTTAATTTTATTATTTAATATTAATTTTTTTTTTGAGAAGAATGCTTCATAATTTTTTTATTTTAACTTTCATTAGTAATTTTTTTTAATTTTATTATTTACTATTAATTTGTTTTTGAGAAGAATGCCTCATAATTTTTTTATTTTAACTTTCAATATTAGATTTGAACCTATTTGTTTGCTGGAAAGTAGTTTTTTTAAAAAAATTAATTATTTTCTGATATTTGGTAGTGTAATGAAAAATAAATTAGAAAATACTTTTCAGTATTTAGTTATATCATGAAAAATGAGTTGAAAAATAACTTATTAATGTTTTATTTTTTTTAAGTTTATTAAAATAATAAGGAATAAATCTTACAAATTAAAAAGTTGAATGAAAATGAGAATGAAAATGAAATTAAAAAGTTGAATGAAAATGAGAATGAGAATGATATGATATTTTTAAATTTTTTACAATTTCCAAAAAGTATTTCCGCCTAAATTTTTCATGAAAATACTTTCCTGAAAACCAGGATAAATTTTTTTTTGCTGGAAAGTGTTTTTAGTTGACTAACTTTTCTAATAGAAACAAATACAAGAAAGTTTGGAAAGTGATTTTTTAAAAACCACTTTTCAGGAAACAAACATGACCTTGTTGAAAATACGGATTAAAAAAATCTGTTTTTTATTAATTTAACGTGATCTTATGATCTAAGTTATGAGTTTAACAGGTTAATTCAATTTTTTTTTTGCTATCTCTAATTGATTTTTTTTATTTCATTCTTTAACATTAAGTTAGTCGAAAATTGAGTTTTTATATTTTTATTTTTTTGCTTTCTACGAAGTTATCTTGATCTCATGATTTGGGTTACAGGTTTAGTAGGTTGATTCAAATTAACTTTGTTTATTTTTTATCATTTAAAAAAAATATTTATTTTTTAGGCTAATTTTGATTTCATAACTCATATCATGGGTTAGATAAGTTGACTCAATTTATTTTTTTATCATTTTTTAATTGAATTTATTTTTCAATTTCACTCTATAACAACTTTATTTTTTCAATTTATTTTTTTTTTAATTTCATTCTTTAATATTATATCGTTTAGTAATTGACCTTCTATTTTTTTTAATTTGTTTTCTATAAAATTAACCTAGTTTAATGAATTTAACATTTAACATTTAACATTTTTCTTTTTCAATTTTAATTTTTAATATTGGATTGGTTAGAAATGGAATTTTATAATTTTTATTTTTTTTATAAAATTATATGGGTTTCATGATGTAGATAGCGAGTTTAACAGGTTAGTTAGAATTGATTTAGGTTTTCTCTTGTCTTTTTTTAATTGATTTTTTTATTTTATCTTTTAATATTGAGTTGGCTTGAAATTAAATTTCATATTTTTTTTTAATTTTTTTATAAGGTTATCTTGATCTCATTATCTGAATTGCAGATTTGACAGGTTAATCCGAGTTGATTTAAGTATTTTTTTTATTTTTAATTTAATATTTTTGTTTCAATTTCATCATTTATTATTGGGTTAATTGAGAATTAGATTTTATTATTAATTTTAATTTTTTTTATAGGGTTATCATATTTTTATAATTTGTATTGTGGATTTAACAAGTTAACTCGATTGAATTCATATTTTATCATCTCATTATTTTTTTAAAAATAATATCATCCAATATATCACTATATTGATATTTAAAACCAATTTCATCTAATATAAATCATATTTTAAGTCTATAGTTATTATTTTTTAGAAAACAAATTAGCAATACTTGAATATTTTTTGTATATTAAAAAATTAATCTATCTCACAACACAGTGCAAGTTAATAATCTAATTATAACTATGATAAAACTTGATTCAATCAAAATTCACTAATTATAACTATAATAAAACTTGATTAGATCAAAATTCAATCTCAAATATATAATATATAGCATTGATATTAAGGTGAAATCAACTATTCATCAAATCTATATTATTGTTGTTGTTATTTCAAAATACATTTTTGTTAAAGGTTTTTTCCTCTTTTGTTTCTATGCCTTTTATTCTTATAAAATCATATACTAGCTTATTATAAAAATAAATCATAAAAAAGGAACCTCAAGCATCCCTCGGTAAGCTCTTACGAAGGAATACTCGGAGATCAAATGTCCATGTGTCAAGGGAAGTGAAATATCCCTTTTTAGCAAGCAAATTGTTGATTAGCTAAAATAAAGTTAATTATCTACTTTCTTCAGCTAGCTAATCACAAGCATGTTCTGCTTTAAAAATAATTATTTTAATATATTTTAAATAAAAAAACATTTTAAGACACAAACTCTCCAACACTCACGGCTAAAAAACTACACTAATGATATAGCTATAATTCTTGTATTTATATCATTGTTATTGTTATAATAATATTAAAAATAAATTTTTATTTTAATGTATTTCTACCCAAAAAAAAATTTAAAACACAATCTCGAGGAGAATCCAAACAAATCGGCAGAAAGGATACAACTGAGAAAGTTTAAGTGAGTGATACAGGTATGGTAGCTGTTTTACGCGGACATTCTCGATCTAAATTCACGAACAATAAAGTACACCCACTTGAAGTATCCTCCTAGTTTTCCTGATTTGCCATGCTAACTACAAGAACAAGATGCTAGCTAGTATCTTGTTCTCTCTCTCGCTCTCTCCACTTGATAGTTGATAGCTGATACCCTCCACCTTTCCCAAAAAGATGATTGAGGAAACTAGTCACTGTGTTCGTGTAACTAATACTGTTCATGGCACCTAACTTGATCCTCTCTTCGCCGGACCGCTATAAAAACCCTATCTGTCCTCCTCATAATCATATCAGTACACCCAACACTTCTGCAAGCACAACTCCATTCAAGAACATCAAGAGTATAGGCCGCCACTGCAACAAAACAGCACTCCTAGCTACTTCAAGATGAGGCCACAATCTTTCATCCTAGCATTGTCTCTTATCTTTTTCTTCCTCCATTGTACAATAACGTTGTGCCAGTCACCTGCCGCGGCCCCAGCTATGGCACCCCCTAAGACACCAGTGAAGGCACCGCCTGCAGACTCTTCACAGGCACCTTCTGCACAGGTAGCTACATCACCTGGCCCCGTTGACATCAATAAAATCTTGCAGAAGGCTGGCCACTTCACAGTCTTCGCCCGCCTAATGCAAGCTACGACAGAAGACACCGAGTTAAACAAGGAGCTGAACAACACGAACAATGGAATAACAATCCTGGCACCAACTGACAACGCATTTTCGAGCCTCAAAGCAGGCTTTCTCAACTCTTTAAGCGATGAAGACAAGACTGAGTTGGTGAAGTTTCACGTGCTGCCTGCATTTATATCAACTTCCCAATTTCAGACTGTGAGTAACCCTGTAAGGACACAGGCAGGGACAGGTCCCAGGGTGACACTAAATGTCACCACCACCGGGAATTTCGTGAATATAAGTTCAGGGCTGACAAATACAAGCATATCAGGCACTGTATACACTGACAGCCAGCTTGCTATTTACCAACTTGATAAGGTACTATTTCCTTTGGACATATTTACTCCTAAGCCTCCAGCCCCTGCTCCTGAGCCAGCACTGGGAAAGCCTAGGAAAGCAGCACCCGATGCAGAGAGCCCTACTGCTCCTAAGGATATTTCTGGTGCTCCAGCTCTGCTTTTTCTGCTTAACAACGCCTTGCTTCTTGCAGTCAGCTGTGCGTTTGGTGCAATAATATATTCATGAGTTATGTAAGCTGGGGCCTGGCCTGGGTGCAGAAATATATTTCTGGTCCCTTTCCGTGTTTTTTTTTTTTTTTTTTTACTATGATTTTGTGGAGTTTGCAATGCATGGTACTGGTGACTAAGATGGATGGAGATCAGTACTGCTTTTCAATAATCGACATTTTCCTGTCATTCCCATTAATTTTGAATCATTTAAGTTTGTGATTTATTGCTCAAGAATGGATTTTCTCTCTTTAATTTGCCCAAAATTCCTACCTTTTCCCTTCATTTTACAACATGCTGCTTGATATATATATATAT